CATAGTCTGAAGACGAGCTGGGGAACCAGTCTCGAAAATTTACACAATAAAGTTTACTGTTTTCCAAAGAAGTCCATTTTCTTAAGTATACATACATATATGCGCATCTCTGCCATTGATGAGCAAGTTCATTAATGGTAGAGGGGTGCTCACCGATCGTTCTTACGGAACTCACTCGTTCCGTTGTGCCTTACGGGCTCTCCCTCGAGCCTAACTAGCAGCCGCACAGCGGCGCATGTGTAGGCAAAATAACATAACCGGACTTCGAAGGTTTTGCGGTCTCTGCGTGATATCTCAGTCTTCAACGTGACCTGTCCACCAATCTGTCTTTGAAGTCGTTTGCATAGACCATTAGAAAGTGGTCACATTTCCAGACATTTTTTCTCAAAGTCACTTCCAGTTTTCTCCGTTCCGGGCAAAAATGGTGTTGAAAGAACTCTTCTTTAAAAGTGAAGGCAACTGCATCAGACCAACTTGCAGTCGGTGAGGAGAGGCCAGAAACCAAACTGATCAGATGCCGTCTCCCGCTGTCAAATTCATAACATCCGTGGTTTTGAAAGTCGAGGCTGATAGGACCAACTGCCCTCCTTACATGCATGCAGGCGGGATGGTCCGGCGTACACTGGATCGGAAAAAGAGAGCAGCCACGCATCTCCAAGAAAAGCACCGATAAGGATTCTTAATCAAAAGGTTTAGATTGTTTCTCGAAGCATGTTTCAAACCATTGTCCTCGTGGGAGGCGTAGTGGCCCTCCTCAGTTATCCACTTTTCTAATTCACGCATGCATTTGATACTGCTGCGATCCCCCAATGATGCCAGCGTTCGAACTCCCCCATGTGTTAAGATCTGCGATGGTGCATCTAGTGAGTGACGGAAACCGATAATTTTGAGTCAAAAAGTTGTTTCACTTGTTGGCGGGCTGTGTTGTGTCAGGTCCTAAACCGAACTTCACTTCTTGCTTATAGGTTAGGCTGTACTGTGGAAGTACGATGGTCGATAACTAGAGATTTCCTGAATCAAACAGCAGGAAAGAGAATGAGAGGGAGAAGCTTTACTGTGGCGAGAGCGTACACGCAGTCGATTGAGAGCCGCTAAGTTTGTAGTCCCGGCGCGAAAAGCTTGAGTGAGCTTGGATTCATGCACCCGCGGCCAATCAGCGAGGGATGCAACGATAATTGGCATCGACTGCTCGCCACGCTAGTGTCAAGTCTCACGCCTGCACAAGCCGTTGGTTAACAGGACGGGTAAGCCAAACTCAAGTCGGCACGAGTAGGCGGCCGCTCCGGCGACCACGAGAAGTCACGTCAGCCGCCTTTTTAAATACCTTCGATGCTGGCATGCGATGTCGTCGCAACGAGTGCAGACTGCTTCACAGAAAATGAAGTCCGCAAAATCCACTCAATGGACCTTTTCGTGACATCAGTGGTCGACCATCTTCAGTTTTGCTCTTCCTCCGCGCCCAGAGCTCAGAGTTAAAACGTTTCAGGCAGACTGACGAAAGCCAGTGTCCGGCATACGCGGACTTCGGTTGTGAAGTTGAGGTATTGCGAAGCTTCGAAGAAATACACAGTTGAGTCGTTGATTTTCCTTCTCGAGAAGGGGCACAAGCGGGACTGCGCTCCATGGCCGAGGTGCCAACAGGGAATCCGTAATTTCCGCAGCGAACGGAATCGTTTTGTGCCGGAAACCTTCTCCTTGCGTGGTACATTATCTGGTAGAGTTTTTGACTGTCACCGGAGCTTTAGGCTTCCATCTAAGAAGTTGTCACTGCGACCTGTTAATTCATGCTGTTCTTCCTAGTAGACTGTTTACCACTACTTACTGAGCTAGAGAAGGTAATTACAATTACATGATCTAACCCGAACCGCTCAAATGGGAAATGTGTGCAATCTTCGCATTCACGCAATCATAACGAGAAACAATTTGGAGCAGGACTCCGCTGCTGCTAATTCCCTGTCTCCCTTGCCTATGATGAAGGCTGGCCAGTAAGACGGCATTTCTGCACTTAATTTTAGGTTTTTATATATGAAAAACAGTAGAAGACGGGGGCAAAACGACTTACATAATAAGGGATTAGGGTATTTTAGCGCTACAAGATACCGAACTAGCAGCCCATGTGCTAGCTAGAAGCACAGACACGCGTGTTTTGGCGATATTCTGCCGTTGCATGGCACAGCTGCGAGGGGTCGTGCAGTGGGTCATACAGCATCCCCCGTGTGCTTTCTGGTAGATACTCCAGTTAAGAAATTGTCACTTTTTAATTTCCTTAGATATTAACTGCAGACTTGAAGTAAATCAGTTTATACCAAGGCCTGTAGACGTCGACCCAAATTTGATGTAAGGACATTTGGGTCGAGATCCATCAGCCACGGCGTGATAACCGTTTAATATTCATTAACTGCCGACAGGCAGTTAGTAGTATGCTTTCAGCGTTACAAGATACCATACCAGCAGCACAGGTACTAGCCAATATTCAAACATCAAATTTCGGTCTGCGCCAATAGACCTTAATATAAACTGCTTTACTCTACGTGCCGGACATTGGTGGTGAGGAAAATCACAGACACTCTTCTCCAACGTTCTGGTACGCATTCCCCGATGCGGGATTTCACATTTGCATATTATTTCTGGAGGGGTCGATTCTTCAGCCGGCATAGAGCGGACTCTCTCGTGCATGTCTTCCATTAGAGGACGCTGCGACAGCCTGTTCCTCAATGTGTTTCTATGATTCCTTTAAAAAAAGCGACTGAAAGCAACGGCATGTGAATTAAAGTATGAATCGTCCTTCATCTGCTTCGTGGAACACTTTTACAACTTCCACGAAGCTGGTTTCGACGGCTGTTAAAGCCTACTCTGCACTCCCTATTGGATGCAAACAGGAAAGATACCAGTCAGAGGCATGTTTCCGGTACAGGAGCTCGGTGATAATCAGACCCCTTGACGCAGGTCCGGTTCTGGGTCTGCCCGCGTATCCATCCGCTAGGGTTATATTGGCATTGGGGTGTAGGGGTGTCCAGTTGTGGGTCTACGTAACGGTCGTAGTAGGTCGCTCATTTGCTTGCAGGTTTTGACTACGCCTAGCGCCATTAGCTGGAACCCAACTCTCACAAATGGCCCCCAGAAACTAGGCTCTGCCTAGCGGTCACATCCCGGTAACCGTCTCAACCGGCGGGCTAAACCAGGTGAGGGTATCCGCCTGTACATCTCCGCACACGCTAACTAGGCTCCACTGGCAGGATGGGCCGTCGCCTCGGCATCCGTAACACCGCAGGATGCCAAAAGGAAAGTGAGCCCCCAGGTAAGCAAACATTGCTCTGCTGGATTGCTATTTGTTTGTATGTTTGTATTTGTCCTTGTTTAAAACTAAATACCGTTCTGTTGCATTTTATATGTTGCCTTTGTTTTTTTGCATGTTCTTGCTTGCTTGCCCTTCGTCTGCATGTTCCTGTTTGTATTTGCTGTACGCTAACTGCCGTTCCTTTGAATCTCTTTGCTCACCACTTATATTTCAGCCACGAGTTCGTTTAGAGAGGGACTGGAACGCTCTGTTTTCCGTCTCTCTATCATTTTCCAACCCCCTCCCTACCCTGCAAGCCCGACGGCGATGTTGTAGGCAGGCCCAGGCTAAATCGCGTCGTCCCCCCCCCACTAACCAAAGTCGTGACCCACAGTGGAGTTCGGTGACCATCGGGGACAACTCAGTAGCCTTTCTTAGAGAGAGCAGTACAAATGCTGGGAACATCGCCGCACTCAGTGAGACCCGGTTCGCAGAAAAAGAAAAAAACTGGAGGAGGTTGGTGCTGAGTACACCTTCTGGAGGGGTTGGCCCAGCGCAGAGCATCACCGAAACCGACACTGACAACGCCGACTTTGCCCGTCGACATTGTTCCCATACATTCAACCAGCACATCGACCTGGTCGGTCATTTGCGAATCCATCTCACGAAGACTGGCAAACCAGTGTCAGGAGTACCCTTGGACACTCGCCACATCCGCCTTAACTGTCCTCACTGCATCCGCACATTCACCCACCACATGGACCTATTAGGCCACATGCGCATTCACGAAAACCTGCAGTTGACAACTGCCGGCTAAATCACACCAGCCCATCTTCTCCCACAAACACCTGCATTGCACAACATCATCCATCACCAGCGTCCGATTGCCGCCTCCCACTTGTGTGGGGAATGTACGTCTGGCTCCGTCTCCGTGCGGCCCCCTCAGCTACATGCGCCATCCGAGTCCGAGAATTTCACGGCGCATCAATTGCCGTAGCTTGAAAGGCCGATGACTGACGCCCCCAAATCAGCACACGCAGTCCGCCCAGTTGTGTGCGTGTATGTGTGGAGTGGCAGACTGGTGGACTGAGAGCCAGGCTGAAACGGCACCTTCTCAATGTGAAATATGGCACTCCCACGCAAGGGAGATGTACGCCGCCCAAATCCCACTGTGTGAAATCTTGGTACTTTCGTTTGGAGGGCTAAGTCGAGCATGTGGCGGGCGTAGACAAGGCCACTGGATATGTCAGTCACCGCGCCCATTTCTCGCACCTGTCAACGGCCAGCTCGGACAGTGACTGGGGTCTGGGGATGGGAACGGACAACGAGGTCAGCGACTCAGCGCATATTTCTCACCATAAACAACCAGACGCACTTGAAGTTATAACGGTGTGCTAGATGTGACGGCTTGCCTAGGTGCGACTCCGGCCGCGCCAGCCACTCTTTTGTTGATAGTTCGGGTTATTTGTTGAGTGAAACGGGGGTTGTGGAGTGAAGCGCCAAAGATACGGGCTTGACCGTGCCATCCACCTGCGCCTTACCCTACCTGAGGTCTTCTTGGCTCCGTCTTGACACCGCGTCCAGGTGGGGGGAGGTGGAGAGGGTGCGGTAGATGCTTGGTGCGAGAGACGGTGCTGCTCGGGTAGGTGAAGTTGTCCACCACCTGCTGTTGGGCGCCGTTCACGTTGATTTGTAGTGCGTTATGGGCAGCGTCGGGTGGCGGTTAATGCATGACCACCATTTTCTCCGTATTGGTGGCCAGGCCAAAGTTGTCGCAGGTGGCGACATAGAGATCCATGCTCCTTTGCATGTCTCCTTCCGAGGTGGCGTTGAGGGCGCAGTCGTCGGCTAAGAGAAGTTCATGGACGGAGATTGTGGATATATGTGACTGGAAGTGCATGCGCGGTGGTTGAGGGACTGACTGTTTGTCCTGTAGACGATGCGGATGCCAGGGCATTCGTCACGACAGGCGTCAATTAGCATGCTAGCGAACATAAGACTGAAGAGGGTATGCGCGAGGACGCAGCCCTGCTTCACCTGTTGGTCACTGCGAATGCCTCTCAGACAGCTACATTGTCCGTGACTCGCGCCATCATGCCATGGTAGAGTTGGTGCACCATCTGAGTGAATCACTCGGGACAGCCGAATTTCCTTACGACTTTACACAGTCCTTCGCGATTTGCCGTATCGAAGGCTTTCGACAGATCCACGAAGTTGGAGTACAGGTGAGTCTACATCTACTGGCACTTTCCCTGCATTTGGCGGACGGTGAGGGTCATGTCCGTGGTCCCACGATGACGGCGGAAGTCGCATTGGCTATTCAGCAGGAGACCCTGTTCTAGACAGTGGTTCAGACGGTTGAGGAGCTTGCGAGCGAATATTTTCCCGGCGATGTTCAGCAAGGGGGTGCCTCGGTGGTTATTGCGGAGCTGGCGGTGACCTTTCCGCTTACGGAGATGCACGACTATGGTGTCCTTTAAATCTTGCGGGAATTATCCTTCACGCCACGTCTCCTGGAATTGTGCCGTCAGGTGTTCCATAAGTTCGGAGCTGCCGTGTTGGTAGATTTCAGCAGGTATTGCGTCCGATCCGGGTACTTCTCCGCTAGCAAACTGCTGCACGACCCTCATGTTTTCGTTGTGAGAGGGCGGAGTTCGAGTTCGGCGTTTATCTCCATTTGAGGCAGACGGGCGATAGCGATGACAGAGATGGTAGAACATAAATATTTTGACAGATTTTAAATAATTTATATTGACCCAACTGTGAAAAACTCGGCGCCTCGGTGGGATTCGAACCCACGCAGTAAGGAGAAGGCATTAGTACAGCCAACGCTCTAGCCACTTGAGCTACGAGGCCCCGCCGGACGACTCGAGTTTAATCTTATTTGGGTCAGGATGGTAGAGTTACGGTTGAGGACACCTTTGAAGTGTTCGGCTCATTGCTGCTGAATTTGTGTCTTCTCAGTGATTAGAGTTGTTTCGTTGACGCAGGGAACAGAAGCGATGCCCTTGGCGCGAGCAATAAGGTTTTTCTATTCTTGGATCTCCTCGGCCTTGCGAGACGTCCAAGCATCCTGCATCTCACACATCCGCTGTTGCACATGGCGTCGACTGCGGTAGAAGACTGCTTTGTTGCCGTCGGTCGAGCGGGTGACGTAGGCTTTGTGCAGATTGTTCTTCTCGGCGAACCGCTTGCTGATGGCAGCGTCATTGTCATCAAACCAGTCCTAGTTTCGGTAACATACGTGACCGAGGACAGACGGGGTCATTGACTGGACAGTGTCCCGCAGTTGACACCGCTGCTTCCCCATGGAGGCATTTTCATTAGCGGCGGGGACTGGAAGGCTGCCTAACCGTAGTTAGCAGGCAAAGAAAACGAAGCAATATTCAACTTACCTAGAGGCCACTTACCTTGTGGTCTCTTGCGAGGCTGTGAGCGAATCCGCATCTTGGAGATGAAGAGGCGATCGTCAGTCAACCCGTCGGCATCCGGATCGTCTTTTTCACCAGCATGTCCCGCTGGTCTCGCCTCCGGATGAGGACATAGTCTAGCATGTGCCAATGTCCTGACCAAGGATGCATCCAGATGATCTTCTCTCGAACCGGCAGGGACAAGGTGTTGGTCAGGATGAGGCGGTGTTCTGCAAAGGTTCGAATGAGTAGGCCGTTGTCACTAGAGCCATGAACACCATTAGAACCCAGCACCCCTCGTCAGGCAGCATGGCCTGTGCCGACGTGGGCTTCGAAGTCACCAAAGAAATAAACTTGTCCGCGTTCAGCACAGCAGATGTTCGCAGAATTTGGTCCTTGCGGCATCAGAGCTGGTCATCGGGGGACGTAGACACTGATGATGGTGGCGAATTCGTCTCCCGGGAGAGGCAGGCGAATAGGGCGGTCGTCCCACGAGGTCGTTTCGGATTGTGAAGGCGACAACCGCATCCCGTCGCTCTGCCTTGGGGCGCCCGCTCCAGTAAAAGGTGTAATTGGCACCAACCTCCTCCAGTTGGCCTTGTTCGGAGAACCGAGTCTCATTGAGTCTAACGATGTCCACCTTGTAGCGCGCCAGTTCCCCAGACGATAGCGCCGTTATCCGTTCCGGTCAGTTGCTCCTCGGATTGTCTAGAAGGGAACGAACATGTTAGGCTGCCAGAGTGAGCGAGCTCAGCCTATCAGTCTGGCGAGTAGGGCGGAGGGTAGGAGGGCGAAGAGAGAGATTATTGTTTTTAGTTTGAATGTTTCGACCATGCGTTTTGCGTCTGCGGTCACTGTCAACCTGCAGATGGCATGGATCCACAGCATTTGTTGAGGACAACTTTTCTAGTCCCTTTTCAATCGGGGGTGAGTAGTGCTGTCCCTAAGAAGGGGTGCTCAGTTGTCCCAGACGATTGCCAAACTCCGCTGTGGGTCATGGCGTGTTTAATGTAAGGACGTCCCGAGTTAGTGTAGGTTGCCTACAGGATCGCTACCCCTCTCGTCGTAGGAGTTAAAGGGAGAGCGGAGATTGAGGAAGAGTAGAGAGACGGAAAGAAGAGCTTTCTCGTCCCACTTTTAATAGAATAGGTTTATTGTAGCGCCCCTTGGGCACTGTCAGTCCCCTTTGAACTCAGGAAAAAAACCTAAAACAAACTCGTCAATTTCAACTGCACTTTGACTTCATTTGCTTCGGGTGCCTGGTTAGCCAAAAGAGCGCGAATTGAGAGTTTGTTTTAAGTTAAAAAAAACCTCAGTTCTAAGGGAAAATAATAACAAAATTTTCAAAAAATAACGATATGTACAATAACAGGTTGGTTGCTGAAATATATATGTTTAACATAAAAATTCAACAGAATGATATTCACCAGAACGGTGATTAGCTTACAACAAGGTCAAACACATACAGGCAGGCGAATGCAAGCTAGCAAGGGTAAGCAAAACAAAGACAACAGAGCAATATTTGACGTACCTAGGGGCGTCACTTACCTCGTGGCCTCCAGAGGGATTGTGGACGAAATTTCACATTGGAGGTGGCGATATGGTGACCCGTTTGACTGCCCACCTGTGGGACAGAGCAGAGTGGATTGGAGGATTGAGGGAGCGAGTGGCAACGGAAAAGAGTGGAAAATAGAGTCCACAGATAAGTAAGGGGCGGTCACTCAGCCTTTGGATCAGTAGCTTGCTGATTGCTCGTGGCACCTGCGGGGTAGCTGAGCCGCCTCAGAGACAAAGGCGGCGATCCCCCGCCCATCGATAGTGGGATCTGAGCCGATTTAGCGTACGCGGAGATGCACATATGGATACCCTCACCTGGTTTGGCTCTCCGGTCAAGGCGGTTACCGGGGTGTGGCCGCTAGGCAGAGCCCACCTTCGGGAAAACACAGATAAGAGTTGGGCGCCGGTTACTAGACGTTAGACGTAGTCAACACCTGCAAGCAAGTGAGCAACCTACTACGACCATCACATGGACGCACAAGAAGACACACCTGAATCTTTACTCCTTATTGACAACTTGGGCTTGATCGACGAGGAAATTCTCGACTAATTTAAGAAATTTGTCTTTGATACTCAAAACTCTCAGTTTGATAAGAAAACGCTGGTGCTTCCCGGAAAGTAATGCGAACACCATGCATAGTGCGTTTTAAATCGACTGCCATTGTCCAGCTCTGCAGTGTTTGTAGCTACTTCGTTGCACATGAGCTTCTCCCATGGACACCGTATTGTGATTATAACAAGGCGTTACGGCTTTCCAAATAAGCTATCATTTCCTTTTTATGGTCTTCTACATGACTTTGCAGTAGAATGATGTCAGACTGATGGGTCTGTATTTGGTCGTAATTGCAGAACGACCGCTTTCGTGTGGCGGTGAGTGTGGGCTGTTTTCCACTCTGTGAGAAGAAATAGATATTTGGCCAGGTATCAGGCAAGTTCAGCAACCGGCTTTGCTGGAATCTTATCCAGACAGGGAGCATGACATTTCTTCGCGTTTGCTTGTCCCTCGAAAATCAATACTTCTTGAAATGGAATATTTTCAGTTATGAATTCTTGCATGCCTTCGTATTTAGATGGAATAAAAACAACTTCTCTTGCGATAACACACTGCAAGCACTGAGAAACATGCTCAGCCTTCTTTGATTTCGCCAGTCGACCAGACGTTGTTCTCATGGGGGATTTTAATGCATCCTGCATTCAATGGAGCGATATGCATGCGAAGTGCTCGAAGAATGCCTTCGATTACCGTCTACTGAAGACAACTCTAGAAACTCTTCTCACGCACCGTGTCCTGTTTCCAACTACAGCGCGCGGAACACAACAGGCCAGTTGTCCGGACCTCGTATTCACCAAAGGTCCTGACAGTATAGACGAGGTGTACTACCTACCTCCGCTCGGCCGAAGTGATCACGCAGTACTTTTATGGGAGTACGAGCTGTATTCTGAACCGTATGCGAAAGACGATACGAGGCCAAATATATGGCAAGAGAACTTATACCAAATGAGAGCCGAGGCTTGGCAAATAGACGAGGATGTTATCTTCTCCGGAAGCGTTAATCAGGATTGGAATTTATTCAAGGATCGGTTGCTGCATCTTATGAATAGCCATTGTCTCTTATCAAAGCCTTGGGCATCCAACCGACCTCAGTGTCTAAGATGAGACGTCAAAAACGAGATCAACAAAAAAGGAAGGTTGTGGAAGCATTTTTGCGGAAACATCAATAATGCCGCATTTACAGAGTATTAAGTTCAAACAAATAAGGTGTAAATCCTGACTTTCAAGAGGCGACGGGATTTCGAGAGTAATTTGGTCCATCGAGCCGTTAAAAATCCAAAATTGTTCTACAGCTGTTTGCGGAAGAGCACCCCTAACAGGATCCCATTCCTGCCATGAGGAATGATGACGGTTTGGAGATATCGGACAGAACGAATAAGACTGAGCATTTTTCAGTTTTTCCAATCTGGTTTCACAAGAAAAACAGACTTTTTTCCA